TATTTAATATAAAAAAATACATTAACCACATCGCCATTTAATAAATCTACATAATTATCTTTTACATGATAGATTTTTTACCTAATATTGAAAATGTAAAATAGCTAATCATTTAGCGAAAAAATTAATTACATCAACATTTAACTAACGAAAGGACGAAATTAGTGTAAAAAATTGAAGTTGAAAGATGTTTTTGATACTTTCTAAAGTTTAAGAATAGATTGATTCAAAAATAAAAGTTAAGAGACCAATTCAAATATTTAATATAAAAAAACCACATCGCCATCTAATTAATTCTTAAATAAAAAAAATTAAAAATTAATATTTTTAAATAAAAAAATTAAAATTTAATATTTTTATTTAAAAATTAATAAAATTAATATTTTTAAATAAAAAAATACAAAATTAAAATCCTTATTTACTGATTTACTCCTTTACTTATTCTCGTGAAATTAAAAGGTTCAGCTTGATTCAAGAGAAAACTGGAAGTAGTTAGTTGTGTATAAACTAAAATAAAATAAAATAATAATAATAATAATAGAAACGCGTCACATGACTCTCCGCATTTCTCAACGCCTTAAAGGACCATTTTGTACTTTCACACCCATCCTCCATTCCCAAGCTAACCAAAACCTTTCCCTCTCCTCCCTCCTTAACCCGAGGGAGGCTCAGGCTTAGAGCTTCGCTTCTCTTTTTCCTCTCCTCTTCGCCGGCTCCGCCGCTTCCTTCCCTTCGCACTTCTTTCCATTTTTTTCTCTACGACGAGTTGCTACAATGAGAAAGTCACTCCTCGCTCTCTTCTTCGTTTGTGATCTCCTTCTTTGCTTTGCCTCCCTCGCCACTATCGTTGCCGAGACCGACTCCGCGGAGATCAATGCCACCGACTCCGGGCTGAACGCATCGCTACCGAGATCTAAAGAGGATAGCTTTGCCGACATGATTGATCGCGCTCTCGAGAAGGAGTTCAATGACACTGATCAGAATGAAGGTCCGTACTAGATCTGAGCTCTCGTTCACTCCATTTCTGAATCTGCAGTTGTTGCTTGATGTGTGGTGGTTGCGCTAGGGTTTTGAGTTTATGGATCAGCTTTGGTCTCACTTAATGTTGCTTAGTTTAATAAATTTTTATCATCCACAGGGAAACATACTGCTTAATTCTTCATTATAGTGATCTCGTGATGATTTTAGTCTGATTTTTTTATTGGTTTTGTTTCTTTTATTGA